AGCTGTGATTAGAACCCTGACTTGCTGAATCCTAGCAAAGTGATTTACCCACCTCCTTTAGAAAGTGACACTTTTATACTCTTAATAAATAATTAACTAAATAAGACTAAAACCCAACTTTTTGTTGCAGTTGGTGCATTTTCTATTGGACCTATCTACCTAACCCATCCTGCCACACAGCCAATCACTGCTCCTTAAAACACACTTCTCCATGAGGTTTATAAAACCTAGTCCTGCCCTCCAGGAAGTGTTTTCCAGAGTGCTCAATACAATAGATATATAATAACATCAAATCTATACTTCACCAGACAGTTAGGGTATTCTTTCTTATACCCCACCCCTCCTTTGTCTCAGGAGCCTGTGAGCTCTGTAAGGCAGGGGCTTCATTTCCTTACTAGCTGGAAAGAAGCAAGCTGATTTGTCACACTACAGAATAATAATACTATTGCAATTATTTTTCATTCAGTCCTATTGTGGAGGCACACAGCAAAAGCCCCTGCATTTGATATTCCTCGTGGTTCTTGGTGCAAAATCAAAACCATAGGACTGACTAGCACATTCACAGGAGCTGAAATATTTATGAGATGATTTCAGAGTTGCTATTGTTTCCTCTTTTTTTTTTTTTTTTTTTTCAAAAGTGTGAGCTTGAAATGTCGTATTTCATTTTGGACAGTGGCTCGGCTAGCTCATTGATTAAATAGGCTACTGTGATGTTAGTTGTGTCATTATTCATTACGATAAATAATGATCCATATATAGTACTAGAGGGGTACCCAATGTTTTATAAACAAGTAAAATGAACAATGGTGCTTCAGGTCAATGGAGACAAGAGAGTTTAAACATGCTAAAAATTAAGAATTGGTTAAGTGCTTTGCTGAATCAGGGCCTAGTTGTTTGATCCGTTTCCGAATTGAGCTAAGCTCTTGCTCCTAATGAGACTTTATGGCAAGAAGCTCTACAGGCTAACTGTTCCAAAAAGCATTTCCTTTGTCACTTTTAAATTTGCTGTGATAGCAGGTTATAAAACATGGCAGCTTCTGATGTTAAATCAACACATAGGTCAGGCCTGCAGGAGTTAGGCAGATTCATTCTGGTCCATTCTCCAGCATTATACTTAGTTCAACATTTAGAGAACTTTTGAATGCTCAAATTAGAATTGATAAAGTCTTCTCAGAGCCACGGGTGATTTTGAAACAATGAAAATCAGTGGTGGCCGGTGCGGTCGGAGGGGAATAAGTGTTGGAAAGTCTTAAGCTGGAGCAGGTTTCGCTTTGCAAAGGCTATGTCTACACTGCAGAGTTTTTGCACAAAAATGGTAGTTTTTGCACAAAAACTCCAGAGCATCCACACTACAAATGAATTTTTGCACAAGAAAAAGTACAGTAGATCATCAGAAGTCAGGGCTTTTTGTGCGAGTGTTATTCCTTTTTCTACAAGGAATAAGCCTTTTTGCGCAAGAGCTTGTGCGCAAAAAGGCAAGTGTGGACGGACAACAGGGGTTTCTTGAGCAAGAAATCCCTATGGGAAAAAGCTCAGGTGCTATGATGGCAATTCTGTGAATAGCCATCAGATCTTTCTTGCACAAGAGCGTCCATGGGAGTGTGGACTCTCTCTTGTGCAAAAGCACATGGCAGTGTGGACACGCTCTTGCACAAGAACTTTTTGCGGAAGATTTCTTCCTCAAAAAGTTCTTGTGCAGGAAGCCTGCAATGTAGACATAGCCCCCATGTGGTAAGTCAGAAAGTGAAATTGTTAGTTTAGCTGTGGTTCTGAATCTTAGCATCCCTTATGCTAGAGTTCTGTGCTCCTTTTCTCAATCCAATTTGGTTTGCTTGTTTGTTTTTTCTTTTGGAGAAGGGGCATCTAAAAGTGCTACTTTGTGGTTTGGATCTTAGTCCCTCTTAATGACTTACAGCGGGCTGGCTTTAAACTTAACTCTCACACACTAGTCCCGAGTCCCCAAGAACTCAAGCCTCCCGAGTCACTTTCACAAGGAGCCCTTCATGAGGTGAGCAGTGCAGCTGTGTCAGCTTATGCATCTTTCGTGGAGCATTCTCAAACTTCTTGGTTTTCTTCTACATCTTCGTCCTCATTGGTGCATTCAGGGTTGTGCTCAAGAGCATCTAAACAGGGTCCTAGACTGCTGTGAGCTCACTAGTGTTTCAGCGAACAGTTTTCTGCAAATCTAATGAAAACTGAATTTGCAGTAAAGCATCCACGTAGAAATAAATGCCACTTCTAGATGGTTGGAATGGGGGAATCTAATGGCATGTTTTCACTACCTGCTAGATCAATGGGTAGCAAGTGAGCCAGTGTGGGTCGATTTATTGCATCTAATATAGACAGGATAAATCAGCCGCCAAGTGCTCTCCCATCAACTCCAGTACTCCACCATAACTAGAAGAATAAGCAGCATCGACAGGAGAGCAACAGCTGTCGACTTACCATGGTAAAGATATTGCAGTAAGCACATCTAAGTACGTCGACCTCAGCTATGTTATTCACGTAGCTGAAGTTGGGTAACTTAACTTGATGGCGAACGGTAGCATAGGCAAGGCCTGAGGTCATAACAGTAATGCCAGGAGATGAAATAGTAAGAGTGCTGCTGATGCTTAAATGCCTTTAGAGGCAGACTATTCCAGTCTGAACTATTGCTGTCCATGAGTCTGTGAATAGTTAATGCCAAAACCCTTTTTTTCTTGGGGTGATTCTCTTTTATTGTAAAGCTTACCAGAGCTGTGACTGACTGTGAGCTTGTGAAGAAAATAGAACAGATATGGAAGAAAAATGAAAACTAGAGAGAGCCAGACAGTCAGAGCAAAGGTGTTGAAATAGTGTGTAGACTACATGAAAAATTCTCACTGTAAATCATACAAAGGTTTTATGCAGAGTCAAAATGAAGGCTCATGAATGATTTGTGGGAATATATCTAACCATGCCCCA